GTTGGGTGGTGTGAGGGTTGGATTTGGGGGGGTGTTGTATAGTGTGAAACTATCGAAGATCGCAAAATAGTGGTGATGTTTTATTCGTGGTGTTTAGGTTGAGGAGTATAATAGTTGATGGTGGGCGAAATGCTGGAAGGTTGTCAGTCGCGAAGCCGAGAAGGCAGCTTGATATAGTAAATGACTAAGCAAGCCACCTCTGACGCAGTGGGGTTCTCTCAGCAGCAGGGCGTTAAAGTGAGCGAACGAGGTGGTCAAAGCTTCCGCAGCGAGCGAGCGCTGCCGCCAATCCAAGGTGGGAGAGCAGCAACGTCAAGAAAACCCCCGATTCAGAACCGTAACAAACAACGACGAACTCGGGCGCCATGGCCATCTCACCTACCCAATTCGCTGTTACCACGCGGCAATGTAAGTCTTCTACTTTCAAGATCGTTCGAGAAAAAACAGCGGACTGACAAACGGAACAGCGGCCAATTGGGCCGACGCGAGAAGCAGAGTGCTTACAGCCTATCGGGCATGGATTCGGGCGGTACGTCCAAGGCAGAGGGATGTTGTTGTAGAGCAAGGGGCAATTGCTGACTGTGGTGGACTTCTCCAGGCGCCTGAGATCCAGACCATGTACTCGATCCCCCAACCCGTCTCCGCCATCCGCACCCGCATCAGACAGGAGTTCGAGCGACACAGATTCGTCAACAAGCTCCCCGTTGTCGATATGCTCCTTTTGCAGAACAATGCCGACTACCAAGTAAGCGGAACAATACATGGGACTTTTGGGTGAAGGGTGGAAGTGGGAGGGGCTGTGGTATGGGGGGACTACAGCTGACATTTGGTCTTGCAGGAAACCATGAACTTCTGGCGTCAAACCACACACTTGATGAACTACTTCAAGGAGGAGAACTTCAGAGGCGAGAAGATCCTGCCCTCAAACTTTGTTTCCGGTTTCCTGGAGGTAAGCTTTATTATACTCTCACACAGATACTTCCACTCATGCTCACAGTTGTATACAGGGCCGCAACTAGAATGGGTGCCTATCACACCCTCTGTTTTTGATGTATATAAAGAGCAATGCCGCAATTCCTTAAAAACAAAGCAGCTGTTTTTGCACATCCGCCCATGATAAAGTGTCCCCTCTACCTATGCATGTCCCAGCCCAGAGCACGCCTAAAACGCCAGTAGCCTAGTTTATCCTTGGTACAGAAAATCAAGCAGAATGAAGCTATGCAGTAGCGGCCTTCTTCTTCTCAAAGTCGTCTGCCGCCGCCACAAACTTGTCAGTGACGACGTCGCAGAGCTCCTGAATGTCCCGGAGGCCCTTCTCAAGAGCTTCGATTGCGGTCGTTCCTTCTGATGGTGGTATCAGCATCCTAATTCTGGAAAGAAATGCAAAACGTGATAAAACTAACCGAAAGTTTGGATTCTGACGTTCATCTTAGCTTCTGATGGATGAGGGATGGCATAAGCACAGAATTCAACCTCGGGACTACAGTTTGTGTTAGTAGAATTTCATAAAGTCCAGCTTAGGAGCTCAACTCACTTTCTCATGATGACATATCTGAGAGCATTGCCGAGTGTGTGACCCTCATTGGAAAACTCGAACGAGGCAGCAGTTTCCGTTGACCCAGGAAGCTATGATTGAAACTTATTAGTTTTAAAAGTTTTGAGCAAAACTTGAGAACTCGACATACCAGTTTCACCCTCTGAACCTCCTCCTCCTCCTCCTCCTCCTCCTCCTCCTCATAATCCTCCTCCTCCTCTACGTCCTCGCCCGCATCATCGACCATAGTATCATCCTTAACCTCAGGCTGGTGAGAAGTGGGCGCATCGTCCATGGCGATGTCCTCCGAGTCAGGTCTAGCAGCCATTTTGAGTTATGATGTCGATTTGCCTCTTTAGATTTGGCTTATTCGAATTCTCTGTATTGTACAAGGCTGAGGTGGAAGGTTCCGTCGTCAATATGAAAGTGAGTTCTTGATATTCGGATTCGGAAAATTTTATTGGGCGCTGGAAATTTTTGGAGAGAGCTTGTGACAGGGGCAGGAAAAGGCGTCCCCGCCACCCGTCCCCCGCCAAACTTGGAATTCACTTCTCCCCACCACACTCAAATCCAACGACACTCATTGTGATGCTCAGCCTTGTTTTGTTGGATTACAGCCTTTCGGTCTTGAAAAGTTCTCACAATTGTTCTTTCCCGTACTTAACTATTACTTCAACTTTCATTTCGCATTTTCAACGGCAGAAATCTCGGAGGAATTTTTAACAAAATGTTCATGAGCAAGGCGATCAAAAAGCCACTTCACAGTGGCGGACAATCACACCTCAAAATTCTGTGCATATGACCCAGTCTTTAACCTTTTTCGCGGATTCATTGTATCATTCGACTCGGCCATAGCACTTGGACTTACGAAGGGTTAGAAAGGGATACGCCACCTCTAGCTTGACAGCGGCTGCCCCGAACCAACAGGAAGACGACCCATTCCAACGGTATACCTTTATGCCCTCCTCATTGGGCGCTCGGAGTGAGGATCGCGTTAGCAAAGGGGGGGCTCTTCACGCATGCCACCCTCCCGAGGTTCTTTGCATCCAGGTATTCCAGAATGCGGGCGGTAAGGTTGCAGTGGAAAGGCAGGAGGCGCTCGACTCGACACCTCACAGGTTGTTGGGCTCGAAAGAAAAGACACAGAAGATGGCATCGTTGCCGAGAGGCTCGGATAGCAGCATGATCTCCTGACGAGCGAGGGCCTGCTGTGACCTACTCGTGTCTGCATCTCGGCGAGTCTCTCTGTGTGGGACAAGCTGAACGGTTTATTGGAAGGGTTTATAGTGTTCGGTTCTTCAGACGTCATTCGTATGAGGCAGGCAGAAAACAGCTGTTCAAGGGGGTGTTGGTGAACCACCCCCATGTGACGCTGTTGTGTTTTCTTTTCCCTCGTCGACAGTGTCCCCTGGACCGGGTCGGATCGGGTCATCAGGATGTTGGGCCAGCCGAGAAGGTCGGAACAGACGATCCTAGGATGCCGGGGTTAGCACCGTCTCATGCGGCCGGCACATAGATGAAACACGGCTATCGCATGCAGCTCATCCAAGACCAAACGATAGACGAGAACAACAAGAGAAGAAAAACGTCGCCACAGCGAGGTTGAGGCTTTTTTCACCAGCTTCGTGTGGACAGTTCACAGTCTTTCTCACCACCGCCCAATCCTCCGAGTTTATGGTGTTTGTCTCAGGAGAGCCAACCGCCATATTCGGCAAGGCTGTTGATTGGTCAAGGTGTTGGACAAGAGGAGAAACATCTTGTGTACGGAGTACAACTTCGACCAGCGGTGGCCTATGGATTTGGGACAGACAGCCCCGTCGGCTTCCACTATCAACGCCAAAAGAGCCTGTCAAAAGTCGATTTTATGATCGAGGTCCGAGTCCTGTCATTTATCCCCCGCTTGTCTGTGCGGTACAGCCTTGGCGAGCACAGACTAGATAATTCTCACAGACAGGCTTTCGACGGCAGCAGTCGCACAGAAATCCCGTCGAGGTACAATTTCTCCCCAAAGGAAGACAAGGGCAGCAAACACGAACGGCAGATGGCAGCTCGCAGCGGGAGAGCGGGATGTCGCGGAGGCGACTTTAAGGAAATCTCATCGAGGCTTTGAAGGAGATATGGTGTTGGCGGCACAGTTGTCTCGTACCGTGCACAACACAGTGTGGACGATCATGGACGAAAAAACCCACACAACCCACCCACAAGGCTTCACCAACTTCAGGGGTCTCCCCACCAGAACGCAGATGTCGCAGCCTGGGTGGAGCGCTGGTGAGGTTCAATAGACCACCGTCTTGCTGCTGCTGTTGCAGCCGCCACACAAATACCCAGCCAGACCCAACATCTGGTTTGTGATGGTGTCCGGAATGTGTGATGTGCTGACCTGATTTAGAAGAGTCTCAAGCACCAAGGAAACGAATGCGGTCTCATCCCTCTTTTCCAACCTCTCGTATTCTCACGCTAACTTTGTATAGTTGCATCTTTTATAAGCATCACCCGGTCCAATATCTCTGAAGCAGGCGATGGGCTCTTCCGGATATCTGGCCGCCTCTGAACTGACATCCCACCATCAGTCGGTGGCCTTTGTTCCGCGCAGCAGCCATGTGGGAGAGATCCGAAGTCATCCTTTCTATGGTTCCCGGAGCGGGAAAAAGATTACGCTAGTATACCTCACTATAGCCCACGATATCACACTCTCACATACTCTGTAGAGGTCCCCTCCATCTGGACCTTGTCTCAGTTGGTTTGAAAAAAAAAAGTCTTCAGAGAGTCCTTGATTGGGAAGAGGCGTGAGACCCAATCAAAGCCCAAAGTCATGAGGCAGTTTGTCCTCTACTAGGCTGCCGCAACATGAGGGATCCTGATGAGCAGAGAGGCGATCTTTTGAAGCTATTTCTATCGTGTTTGTTGATGATCATGGACCACACCTACAGGGCCTAGAGATGCAGCGCTACGGGGAAAAAAGACGGGAGGACGTTGCTCTCGGTTGATAAAGCTGCGCCCCTCCTTGCAGCACAGACGAGTTTCAGGCGACACTGTCATGGCTGCTGGGAAGTCTGACAGGGGTCCAAAAAGGAAACAGTGGACTCCGTGTTTCTGCCAATAACGAGTGCCTCCACTTTCAATCCAAAACAACCTCAGAGCTTTTAATGAAGAAAAAAAAAAACTCGTACTGTCCGAGGGACTTATTGCGGGCCCACGGGAGAGTGAACACATGAGTCAAACGTAGAAGATAGGGAAACTCCAGACGGGCCTTTAACTTTTTGACCTCTCTCTTCAGCAGGTCTTTTTTGATACGGGACAGGGCTAGTTTTTCGGGGGCACTTCCCAGTCGATCAGATTCAGACCAAGCCCCGCCCCTCGCCAACAAGGGCCTCCACTTGGTGCTCCACGACGTCGAATCTCAAACACTAGAGCCACTGACGGTCATCGTCCATCAGAGCTCGCTCTGGCTGACCACCTGTGACCAAGGGAGTAGCCACAGACCTCACACACAACTTGCATCACCGTGTCTGCGTCGTCTCCTTTAATACCAGAGGCCCCCCGGTTCACGCTTATACGACTGGCAGAACTGGCCCTTTTACCTGCGTAGTGTAGCTCCGGCCATGCGAGTTGTGTTCCCCTAAAAAGAATCCCGCCGCCGTCTCACAGACAGCCCCTCATCCTTTTTCCATCCCATCATCATCCCTCCCCCCTTCCCCCGCGCCAGAAACTAGAAACAGTACCCCTCCCCCTTATTATTATTTCACACACATTCCCTCTCCTCTCTCTCTCTCTCTCTCTCTTCTCGTCTCCGGAACAAAATAACCCTCGATCGCACTTTGTTTTGCTCGAGTCTTTTTTCTGTTTTTTTTCTTGTTTTTCATACTCTTGCTACCGCACTCTTGGCCTCCTCAGTTGTGGCGTGTAGGTGTAATACCATCCAAACCATCCCCGGTCACTCCGTCATCCAACACAGCACCACCGAATCCCCCGTGCCCGCTTCTCTGCGGCGCAATAATTTAGTCTTGTTGGTCATCTATATATCGGCCGACTCCCCCAAAGGAACAAGGAAGACGGGACGAAGGAAGAGATTAAGCAGGTGGAATAGTTGGAATTGGAATTGGAATTAGAGAAGAACAGGAACGACTATCTACGTCCGGGCCGAAGCAATCCAACGAATCCCAGCAAAGGTCCAATCCAGCGCAAGCGCCCGTCAAAAAGTCTTGGGTGGTGGTGTCGTCTTTCCCTTTTACGACGTGCATTGCCAAAAAAAGGAAGGTGCAGCAACTGCAGCATTTGGTTGCAGCAACACGCCGACGCACAGCACCTACCAGCACAGCACAGCACACATTGCACAGCACAGCACAAGCACAGCGCAACGCAGTCGGAGAGGGAGAAAGAAGCGCCCGGTTTTCTTCTGGCCGACACACAATTAATCCAAGAAAAAGGAGACAGAGTACCGAGTATCCAATTCGTGGTCTCGACTCGACTCGACTACCAGACTCGACGCCTCTTTCCCGCCGCACTTCCTCGCTTCAACCCATTCATCCATCCACACACACTCTCGATTCGGATCGCCCTCTCACACCCCCCCCCCCCCCCGTTAGGTCCTGCCCCCCAATTTTCGGGGAAATCTGAGTGATCGGTTTTTCCAAACCCGCTTCCAAGTCCTCGAATTGCCTGCAACGCGCCACCGCTACACAACTCATCATGAGCACCGCAGTCGCAATGGCCCCTTCACCGGCTCCTCACGACAGGCCTTCTTTTGGCAACGACATCACCACATCTCCCAGCGCCCAGAGGCCAACACAGTCGATTCCTCCTCCTCCACCCATGTCCGCAAACCCGAACGCGCCAGCGCCAGCGCCAGCACGCACTGGTAGCGGCAGCCCAAAGGGTGTAGGTGCCGCTCCCACCGCTCACAAGTCCTCTCCACCCAGCGCGTAAGTTTTGCTCTCCAAACCCCCTTTCCAGCTGCTGCGCTGCGCCCATCAGCCCTGGGTCTGTTGTTTCATTTGGGGCAACGTTACTAATCCGTCCCGTCGCACCACGCACAGATCTCGAAGCAGAGAAGGCCCCAAAATCATCGTCAAGAAGGAGCCTGGATCGCCCGATTTGCCCACAGCCCGTCACCGGCCGAGGAAGCTCGATCTCTCCAAGAACACGACAAACATTGTCTCACCCGCCACAGGACGGCCCCTGACTGCCAGAGACGGCCTGGGCATCCAGGAAGTTGGTCTGGCCTGCCTGTCACCCGGCTTCGTAACCCAGGACCCAGTCATGAAGGAGCAGCTGCAGCGCAGCATGAGCGTCAGGGAACACCAGAGGCAGATTATCGAGCAGAGGTTACAGCAGCAGTCGGCCAAGGGCGACGGTCCCGCCGACAAGGACGGAGGCCAATTTACCGCAAAGACACCTGGTTTTGCCCGCAAGCGTGGGCCTCCGCCAGGTCTGAGCATCGTTGCGCCGTCGCACGAGCAGTTTGCGAACGAGCGCGTGATCCAATCCGCGCCACTGGGCCAGACCTTCACAGGGAGACACAACCCGCACCCGCTAACGCGACACATCACCAACCAGCCCTCGAACCTGGCCAGGAACTCGCACATTCACCACGTCCCAGCCCAGCAAACAAACAATCGCCTCCCGCCCATCGCCGACGTTTTTGGACAGAACCTTTCCGGACACCCAGAATCCAGCGGCCACGCGCTCTTTGCCAACCAGAACCGCGCCCCTCTTGCGTCGCCGCACCACCCGCCACCTCAGCAGCAGCAAGCGTCCACCCCAGGCCGGCCGAGGGAGTACAAGTCGGCCGAGGAAGCCCAGGTGGAACTGGCAGGCGGCAGACCGGAACTTTTACCCAAGTTAGTACACTACGCAGGCAACCAGCAGCAACCCCCAACACCACCGTCCCCGCACCCGTACCCGCAGCGGCAGCAACAGCAGCAACAACACTCGCGAGACTCGAGATATGACGGGATACCGCAGTATGCTGACGCGAGCCGGAGCATCAGCAGCAACAATGTCGTCCCGAGCCACGCGCCGCCCGTCAAGAGAAGCCGGGCCGAGTACGAGGACGGCAGCCCGCCGCTGGGGGGGAACGGGAGCAGACCTGCGCCGCACGCGCCGGGGTCGAGCAGGAGGACGGGGCCGTTTGAGGAGGGGAGGGACTCGCCTGACACGCAGAGGGCGAAGAGGGAAGAGTTTTTGAAGCTGTGTGAGAGAGCTTGGGATCTGTTTCACTCATGAGGCTCTGGTGGGGGGGATTTATTTTGTTGTGATGTGATTATTTTTACTACTACACTACTACCTCTTACGATTCGATATTTTTGGATTTTGATATATCTGGGCTGGCGGGGCTGGTTTTGGGGGTTTGGAGCTTGGGGTTTTTGGGGTTTATTTTCGAGGGGATGGAAGGGGAAATTTGTTTGATTATGTGGAGGAGAAAGGGGGGTGGTGGAAGAGGAGGAGGAGGAGGAAGAGGAAATAAAACAACTGGGATGGTTGGAGGGATGGAATGGATTGGTATGAAATGGGATGGGATATTTCGGGGGGGGTGCTGCTGGCTGGCGTATTTTTTTGAGGGAAGGGGGGGTTATTCTGGTTTATTTATTTACCTATTGGGGTGGTTTCTCTACTATGCACGCAGACAACTGAATGTTGAGGTTCTTTCTGTTTACTTTTGTTGTGCGAAGAACGATTTCGATGTGCGGTTTGAAAATGGAATACTTTTTGTTGATATTTTGGGCAGTTGTCGGTTTTTGCTTTTGTGCTTTGCCAGTGGTCTTTACTTGAACGCGCACTGTACTTGTCAAGAAGGGATTTGTTGAGTTTGATTATATTTACTTGTCTGTCGAAAGGCATGGGGAGGGCATTGGACAATGGCTCTGTTCTCCCAGTGAGGAGGTTGAGGTTCGGGGGTATAAGGGGGGGGCTTAATAATGATGGTATGAAAGAACCTATGGGTTTTAAGGGGATGTATGTCTGTCTGTCTGTCTGTGTGTGTGTGTGTGTGTGTGTGTACACGGAGGAGATATATATGTACAGTTAATACTACCTACCTGCTGCCTCGTGGAATTCTGTCGACTATTCATCTAGTAAAGTATCTAATAGAAGTGAAATATTTACCGGCTGTGCTTGTCTGCTGTTGCTGTCTTTCTAGACGCTTTTGTGTATTTTGCTTGTGGTATAATCTTATCCTTGAAATATGCAAGCAAGTGTTTCTTCTCATCTTCTTCAGCGCAGGAGCATGGAGAGTTGGTCCATGGTTCAGCGGGAAGTGTATGTTGAAGAGATGCTATACTGATACACGACGATGAAGGGAGGGTGGACGCGCTTGAGTAGGTACCGAGAGATGATGTTCCACGTAGTATTACGGAAGGACAAAAAACGGATGTGAAATCGGGTCGGCTGTCTACATTAAATACACGAGCTTGTACGACTCCCCCAAGAAAGGTTTGTGCGAGTGAGTGACGTCTTTTGGTTACGACGGAAATGGTATAAATAGTAAAGATAGATTGGGGGGAAGGGTGTACCGGGTGCCAGGCGGGCGGGTGGCGGCAGAGAAAGGGGTTCTAGTTTGTGAGACGTCAAGATGGTCCACACGGTGGTGAGAAATTAGGAGGGTTGTGGATTTGATGATGCAAAAGAGATTTCAATCTCGCTCTGGACTTCTTTACGACATCTATCCTTCAGTCAAACATGACTGACTAGTGAGATAGATATTCCACGGCTGTCAAAAGGGGGATAAAAGAAAGAAAGAAAGAAAGAATGAGAGAGAGAGAGAGAGAGAGAGAGAGAGAGAGAGAGAGAGAGAGAGAGAGCCCTTTTGTTGTGGGCCTTCATTCATGCATTTTCTTTCGTGACACATAATCGTTCATGAGCACAGCAGCTGTTGCATTCCAAGTGATCGCATACGAGAAACTCCAATCCCGCGGGGAGGGGGCGTAACGATCGAGATGATATCATGAGATCTACGGGATATCCCGCATTTCATCATTTGGAAATGGACCATGTAGCTCAGCCCGTTAAAGCTACACTGTTGGCTATCCAGCATCTTGCCAGAGAAACATGGTGTTGAGGCACCGTGCCCCATCAAGAATGAAGACAACAGCAAGCCCCGTACTAAAGAGAGAGGAACCCTTTCCCATCTCCCCTCACTCTTACCCCTGAATGAAAAAAAGCCCTTCTAGAAGACTCTTGTCTCCTTCCATTCTTTCATCCACCCACCCGCCGCTATTGATGGAGATCGCACCATGAACCGCCCGTACCTGACCATCACCCGCCCCCTTTTGAACCCCCTCACAAGGAACCAAACCACGGACACTTATCTCTTCACAAAACCCCCATTCAAACCCAACCCACGCGATGCCCCATGCGAGATTAAGTGTCCAACCCAAAGCAAAGGAGGAGACGAGACCCTGGGCCTTGATCCACGCGGCCTTGAAAAATATAGATGCCTACATCCGATCCTATATCCCTCTCCCTCCGTGTCCCTCCCCCCCCAATTATCACGATCCCACAAAAACGTCAGCCAAGACATTCCATAGGGTCATTCTTCTCCCTCCCACATCCCGAAATTCAACCAACTGCGGCAGGGACGGCAGTTTTCGTTTTCGTCTTGGCTCAGGTTCTTTTGCTTTCTCTTGCAGAAGTGAGTGGGTTGGTTAGTTGCCTCAGTAATAGTTGGGCTGTTGTGGGTTGGGTTGTGGGTGTATTCATGCAGAACCTCCCCTGGTCTGTGTGGGCGTCTGTACTCTTCAAGAGCGAGCTGTGTTGGTGAGTATGATGAGAAGAGTACATCAAACGTGACTGTGTATTGTATCATGTATACATTACTATACTTAAATATGTTCCTTCCCAGATAAAACGAACGCTTTGCCAACCTCTCCGATCCGGTCAGAAA